AGTAGATGTTTCTTCCATTTCCCAATACAGTTTAACCATTCATTCCATAAGGAGTTAAAGAGTAGATGTTTCTTCCATTTCTCAATACAGTTTAACCATTCATTCCATAAGGAGTTAAAGAGTAGATGTTTCTTCCATTTCTCAATACAGTTTAACCATTCATTCCATAAGTAGTTAAAGAGTAAATGTTTCTTTCATTTCTCAATACAGTCTAACCATTCATTCCATAAGGAGTAAAAGAGTAAATGTTTCTTTCATTTCTCAATACAGTTTAACCATTCATTCCTTAAGGAGTTAAAGAGTAGATTTTTCTTCCATTTTTCACTACAGTTTAACCATTCATTCATTCCATAAGGAGTTAAAGAGTAGATGTTTCTTCCATTTCCCAATACAGTTTAACCATTCATTCCTTAAGGAGTTAAAGAGTAAAGGTTTCTTCCATTTCCCACTACAGTTTAACCATTCATTCCTTAAGGAGTTAAAGAGTAGATGTTTCTTCCATTTCTCACTACAGTTTAATCACTGAATTTATAGTGAATTCGTTCTGTTGAAACCTTTACTCCATCACTGAGTCTTTAAACATCCTAAAGCAGTATTTGAAGCACGTCTCGTTAGCCTTAGTTGTATCTAGGCATAAAGTGAAATCCTAATTAACATCCCTTTCCTTCAACCAGTATCGACAAAACTAACGACAACTCGGACAGATCCTGGCAGCAGAGTTTCAGTTTTCTACGTCGGGGAAGCAGTAGAAGAAAGCGCCACACTGTGGAGAACGAACAACCTGAATCTCAGGTTGGTTTCCATATCCCTGCTGTCAGTCAGTTTATAGTGAGTGGGTTCGTGGTTTCCTTGTAGTTTCATCACATTCCACAGTGAGACGCTTCGTTGCATAAAAGTTTTATAACTTTTGAAGCATGCCCCTGTCATTTTTATATTTCCGCGAAAGAATTTGCTTTCAACATATAAAATGACTATTAGAATAACAAGTTTCACAATCTTTATTGATAATGCTACCAGCCGCCATGTCTAAAGTGTTTTCGTTAAGATATTTTGGGTTATTAGTAACATATTTTTATTGTTGAAACAAAAGATTTTTCAACTATTTACCAGTTACATCATTGATATCGAAAACAAATAACAGGCATCACGAAGCGAGTGGCATAATTAGGTTCTGTTTGGCATAATTAGGTTCTGTTTGGTATATTTAGGATCTGTTTTCAGATTTATGATCTGTTTGGCATATTTAGGGTCTGTTAGGCATAATTAGGTTCTGTTAGGCATAATTAGGTTCTGTTTGGCATAATTAGGTTCTGTTTGGCATATTTAGGATCTGTTTGGCATATTTAGGATCTGTTTGGCATATTTAGGATCTGTTTGGCATATTTAGGTCTGTTTGGCATATTTAGGTCTGTTTGGCATATTTAGGATCTGTTTGGCATATTTAGGATCTGTTTTCCAGATTTATGATCTGTTTGGCATATTTAGGATCTGTTTTCCAGATTTACGATCTGTTTGGCATATTTAGGATCTGTTTTCCAGATTTACGATCTGTTTGGCATATTTAGGATCTGTTTTCCAGATTTATGATCTGTTTGGCATATTTAGGATCTGTTTGGCATAACTAGGATCTGTTTCGCATAACTAGGATCTGTGTTCCAGATTTAGGATCTGTTTGGCATAACTAGGATCTATTTTCCAGATTTAGCCCAGATCTTAAATGCTCGATTGTGTACACTTTCTACAGTTCGTTATTTTTCCGAAGAACAACAAAAACAGACTGAAAGTCTGTTATATGTTACTAGAAGATAAACATAACAAACTTATCTATTGAACATTGGGAAAGTCTACCAGGCAACATTGGGAGGTTTGGAGAATGTATTTCTGTGATGTTTAGAGGAAATCACGTGCTATTGGTTTATAGTGAATTATTATTGGATGAAATTTTAGTAAGTTTAGTACAGGAGAGTATCACAATTATCGCTAAGACACAAAAACGATATTGTTTAGAATAGAAATTCATATTATTATTATTATATGTTATAACTATCACTAGGGGAAAAAATAAACAGAACCTAATTATGCCAAACAGAACCTAATTATGCCTAACAGAACCTAATTATGCCTAACAGAACCTAATTATGCCTAACAGACCCTAAATATGCCAAACAGAACCTAATTATGCCTAACAGACCCTAAGTATGCCTAACAGACCCTAAGTATGCCAAACAGATCACCTTGTTTGTTTGTTGTTGTTAAGGAATATCTCCGCTGTGCTCGCCAAGGGTATCGTATTGAAAGCCGGTTTTTAGCATTATAAGGCTTCTTGCGTTGTGGGATGTCAATCGTTGTTATGGTTACAATCATCTAGGTCAAGTTACTAATTAGTTACTTTAACAGCTGTAGGGATCGAACCTAGAAAAATCACGGTGGTGCTCTATTTTTGTATCACCCTTTTTAACCCTATACACGGCGGTGTACAGCGAATGTCTGGTTGGTTGGTGAAGAAAAACGTTTCCGTACAAACACATTTACACGTTTGCTGCAAACCTATTAACAGGATACTTTATGAATCTGAGTGTATTTATTTAAACAATTAACAGTTGTTTAATGTTGAATATATATGAAAAATTACTACTAGTTTGTTATCCTAGTTTATCGAATTTATGAGACTAGCATTGTATCCCCACCCCTAAAAAAAATACACACACGCACACACACACAAAAAAATGATGCAAAAGGGGTGAACATTTTTGTGCGTAGATGTTGTAATAGCTCTTGTTTAGTGAAACCTGTGTTAACATTGGGTTTGGTAATTTGTTGTTCTATAACCAAGCGATTTCGTTCAATTATTTCCAGAATAGAATAACTGATTTAATGAAATACAACATAATCAATAAATCATATCCATTCTTTTCTGTCTGCTTTACGACAACAAGGAAAGAGAAACCCATCTTCGCCCCTATCATCACGCTCGGTCGCGATCTCCCTCTCCAGCTAGGTCGAGGCGGGGATCCCCAGCTTCTCCACGAAGAAGACGATCCCCAACCCCGATTAGAAGATCTCCTTCTCCACGCCGAGGGGACCATGACATTGGCTTTTCTGATGCTGTGACTGACCTCGTGAGCAGGGTTAAACATGAAGGCAGTAGTAGAGGAAGAACGAAGGGTGAGCTATATTTTCACGTGTTAATATCGACATGATTACACCACACCTCTTGGCGGACACAAAACATTTTTCAGAATAGTTTGTTCTTCTAAAGTAATTTAAATAGAAAAACATCTTTGGAAACAGTTTCCTTCCAAGGTTAGTATATAATAAACAAGGCTCACACACGATATTTAGTACAAAAAACACATTTGGAAACAGTTTCCTTCCAAGGTTAGTATATAATAAACAAGGCTCACACACGATATTTAGTACAAAAAACACCTTTGGAAACAGTTTCCTTCCAAGGTTAGTATATAATAGACAAGGCTCACACACGATATTTAGTACAAAAAACACCTTTGGAAACAGTTTCCTTCCAAGGTTAGTATATAATAGACAAGGCTCACACACGATATTTAGTACAAAAAACACCTTTGGAAACAGTTTCCTTCCAAGGTTAGTATATAATAAACAAGGCTTACACACGATATTTAGTATATTAACTCTTCCAATGCAGGACTTAATTTTAGGTACACAACAAAAACGCCCCCTAGTGGCATAGCGGTATGTCTGCGGACTTACATCGCTAGAATCCGGGTTTCGATACCCGTTGTGGGCAGATCACAGATAGCCTATTGTGTAGCTTTGTGCTTAGTTACAAACAAAAACAAAGACAAATGTTTTAATCTATCATATATTTGAAATTTCAAGCTGGTAAACACTTGAAAGTTTGAAGGAGAACACCTTTTCTTCGCGTTGGTACAAATCTACATGTGGTTAATATCACACTTTATGGCTGAAACAAAGGTTATTAATGTGTTTCATATATGTGCTTGCAACGTTTAACGACCAAACAGTATACTAAACAGAACCTTACTTCCATGTATTACAAGTTCGATTTGTTAGATACAAATTATAAGGAAATTGTCATTAATTGGCTTATTTGATTTAATGATTCCCATATAAAGTCTTAATTGTTATTTTAATAATATAGTCAATAAAAGATATAACATGCAGATGCATTACTCAAAAACATGATGCGTTAACGAGTGCAAAATAGGCCTAATTTCTTGCTTTCTAATGCACATGCAAATAAATACTACAAATGTTAGAAATACAACAGGTTAATTTTTATTCTAGTAGTATTTGACAATACATTGTGGAATCGAAATTATTTTGTTATATTTCTCGTCCTTATTTATTTTCCAGCGTCTATGGCCGCATTAGCAAGCAAGAAATAGGCTTAACTCCCGTTAGGCCTATTTTGCACAGAATAACGTTTTGCCGCCTCCCTGAAGACGCTTGCAATTGAGTACTTAAAGTATTAGAAAAAACAGCAGATCGATTCTTGTTCCAAAATATACTATCAAATACTACTATGATAAGTAGATGACATTAATTGGAATTCAACTGTTGTATTTTTATATTCTTTTAGTAGTTAATTGCAAGCGCCAGTGATGCCACAACGTGTTTTTCTTATGCATTTATATCAAAACGTGTATTAAGGATTAAGTGGAAAGAATCAAATCACGTTGTAACTATTTCCTTTTGTTTTCTGAAACTGTAGCCAAACTTGGAGGTGATGAGTTTGCCATATCTGAAGAAGGTACGACGTATCGAGGGAGATCACCGGTTCGATCGACGTTCGGCAAGCCATCACCCTGGAGAGTTTCCTCTCCATCCCACGAGCGAAGTCAGAGTATCAGTCCAGAACACCAGACAATGTTTTCCTACAGACGATCCCACAGACATAGCCCAAACGTCACTCCAACTCATAGTGAATATTATAGTAAGTCACCATTAGACGAGCATACCCGTAGTCTGAGCCCAGCTTCCGCGCACAGCTTGCCGTTACAGAGAATATCGCGGGGAAGGAAATTACCCCCAACTCCAATCAAACCATCCACTCTGTATTTTGGTGTTCGATCCATGGAAAGGATCAACTTTCCTGTTGTGTCTAGTTCGCCAACAGTGCCCCAGCCCAGTAACAAATCAATATTTAATATCAACTTTCCCAGAGTGAATGCTTCGCCCACACATCTGCCAAAATCCCAGATGCTACTCCGACAACAAAGAACTACTCCGAGTACTGGACTTCACAGCCCGTCTCTAAGGCCAGGCGGAAGGGTGGCTAGTAGCAGTATTAGTTTGCCACGTGGTCAGGAACAGACTCGTAGTGTAGACTTTCACTCTACTCTGGACAGAAGTTTTGACCCTCTTGGGCATAATGAGAAACTGGTCAGTTTCCAAACAACAGCAACTGTTGGAAGAAGCTGTCGACAGCTTCCATCATTATTGTCTAATGGTTACAAGCCAGGCCAAAGAGACTGGTACAGACAGGGAGGGAAGGAAGTAATTATACCAGCTTTACGGACAGGTCGTGTTGGTCCACACGTTGACTCTGATGATGATTGGTGCTAGCTAGCCAATCGTTTTGATGATTGGTGCTAGGTAGCCTGTCATATTGACAATTGGAGCTAGCTAGCTGATTGTTTTGACATTTGTAGCTGGCCAATCATTTTGATGATTGGTGCTAGCTAGCCAATCATTTTGACAATTTATGCTAGCTAGCCAATCGTTTGCGCAAGATAAATCTGATAATGCTTAGAGGTTTCAATTCTGGACTAAATTCTTTCAAATTTACACATTAACTTCATGTTCCTGAACAAATATGATGTATATAATTATTCGATTACTTGTCATTATCATCAGTACTTCAATTTGAACATTTGTTTTTTAACTCTAAAGATTACCGTTAGGAGCTTTCTTTATTTTCAATTAACTATGTATCTTTTAGTAATTACAACCGTTTGTCTTTCATGCTCGTTCTTCTGTGATGGACTAACACTAAGGCAGACTTTCATACCATCATTAGGCCTACTAAACATTTATTTTCCATTATGGGAAGAATTTGCATGCCAAGTTGAAAAGAGGGACATTTATAAGAATCTTCTACTATATGTAAAGCTTTGTGTGGATGTTTCACTTCCTTTACGTGTATTTCTAAACAACTAAGGTTTACAGGATCAGAAGCTTGAAATTTCTGACATCATTAGCTTATCATCATCTCTGTCAAGCTCTTTGTTAGAAGTCTCATTACTCTTATCAACACGATTTTCTTATGTCTGTTACGCTGAGTAACATAACGCGATAAGAAACGTTTCGTAAACTTCACGAGCAATACTTGGCCTAGTGTAAGTCAAACGAAACATGGCTCGCGTCCCTTTGCCGCAAAAATTCGCTCCGCACTTCGGATCTATGATGATAAAACCCCAATATACGGTCAGACAAGAGTAGCCCAAACGTTGGCGGTGTGTGCTGTTGAATATCTGCCTTCCCTCTAGTCTATCGGTTCTAAGAGTGATAGCTATATAGATATAGCTGTTGTATAGCTTCGCGCGAAAATTCTAAAAAAAAACAAACAAAACTAAAAAATAGACCGGTAAGAAATATAAACCTACCCCTTACGCGTTGTTCTATTCTATACTTTAAATATTAAATATCATGTGTTAATATACGAGTCTATTTACACGTTCTGTTAAAACAGCTTGCGACAGGTGGCGCACTACAAGAACAATCAAATACTTATAATTCTAGCCAGAGCTTGTGAAGAAACTTGTTTTATTTCCCGGCTAACATTCGTCAATTGCAATCACTAGCACTCTTTTCTTTAAATATTTTTAAACCTAAATACTTTCTGCGATTTTTATCTATTTGTTTTATTTCAACGATCAATTGTGTCCAGCTGCTATAAATGTTTGTTGTAAGACAATAGAATATCTGTCCCTCGAGTATCGAAACCCGGTTTTTAGCTATGTGAGCCCTCAAACTTATCGCTGAGCCACTAGGGGGCTGGTATAAATGACAGAAAATGGAGTTACCTCTATCAAAGTTGTCGCAATAATTTTTCTTTAAATATCAAATATTTCAGAAATATCACCAGTAGTTTCTTCTTCTTGTGTGAAAAGTAGCAGGACTCCATTAACTAGGTTCTAGTTTTGAAAGATAAATCAGTAGGATATTCAAATACAGATACTGTTCCAAACGACAGTCACTAAAATAAATTAATTATTAACATTTTAACTATCGTAACAGACGGTACTTCTTCATAAGTTAAGTAAATTTGAAAAATAACTTATTAAAAAGGCACTAGGCTGATATAAGTACCCTACATGTTCCGGTGTTATTCTATTTCGTAAGATGTAGGGGTAGAAAGCCGACAAAATATGTAAAGTTATATATAATGAGCATAATGCCTTTTTATGTTAATTGGTGTTCACTTTTTTAACGTAATTTAATTTTATTAGGAAAAGAACTGAAATTGAAAGTTGCTAAACGTTCGCTCTGTAATTTCCACCTCCCATTTTTTTTTTAATTTTAGTTCATTAAATCGAAATATTCTAAGTTTGATAATTATGTATGTATGTTGTTAACCACAAAGCTACATAATGGGCTATCTGTGCCCACCACAGGTATCGCAACCCAGTTTTTAGCGTTATTAGCCTTCAGACTTACCGCTGAAGAGCTCTGGATTGAGCGAAACGCGTCGTCGGCTAGGGATATGACATAAATAGTGTGGTTAGAATACTATTATTACACACATATAATTCTTGAAAATCTCTAAAGGACTAGATAAAAAATGTAGTGTTTAAAAATATAATAGGTCTAATACAAATGTCCTATGACAAGTACAATTAATTTCAAAAATAGTTTGGAAATACTCGAGGTATCAATATCCAATTAATCACTCAATGAAAATATAAATGTATTTCGTGTTCTAGAGACGCTTTATTACATTGCCTGGATACAAGTGTTAGAAATGCCTAGGGGAACAAATTTTAGAAATTATGGTTTATTTAGGGTGTTCAACGAAACGTTTATTTAAACAATAAGAAGGAATTAAATGGCCCGATTTTTTTTTTTTACCGAAAGCATTTATAAAATATTGAAATACTCACTGAGTAATTTTTTTTTATCAATTGTTCCATTTTGTAAAAAGTTAGAGGAAAACAAATAATTCAAGATTTAACTGAATTCGGCTACGAAATCTGAAGGCTACTATTAAAACCGGATTTCGATACCTGTGGTGGGCACAGTACAGGTAGCCCATTTTGTAGCTTTGCGCTTACCGAACGAGTTATGTTTTTTCGGATAATCATAAGCCATTTGTGCCACAAGCGATCCGATTTATTCACCAATTTTAATGTCTGTAAATGATACAAATGTTAATACAAAATACATTTTTGTTAGTTTGCTTTTAGGCACAAAGCAACACAATGGGCTATCTGTGCTGTGCCCACCACGGGTATCGAAAACCGGTTTTTAGCGTTATTAGCCTTCAGACTTAACGATGGGCCACTGGGGGGAGGGGGCACTCATTATAATGAAAAGTAAACAGATACAAAATTAAAAGTTTTCTCCTTTACATTTTTATATAACAAATATTAAACTAGAGTTTTTAACATTAAAGTTTTTCTGACTAATCGTTATAAGTGGATGCGGAGTTAACCTTGTGGAAGACCTCTGGGTTTTGGAGCTGGCGACCATCATTCTAATCCGTGCGATATCGTAAAGTATTCCAAGCAGTTAAGCTGTGAGTGCGTTATAAATGTGACACGTAATCCCTTAGCGTGGGTAGGTAGGGTGTTATTAACTAGCAGTTTTCCCTCTGACCAGTAACGCAAATAGTTTTGTCGTTTTTTTACAGTTCGGAGTAATTTCTATACATTTTTAAAGTAAGGGCGAATATAATTTACAGAAGGTGTAGTCGTTTTATTTTTATAGATTCACGAATATTTATTGTTTTACTCTACTAATCCGTTTGAGGAATCAGTTGTTTGTTTTCTAAAAAGGATTTGGATTACATAATAACTAACTGCCCGTGATATTATTCATTAAAAAAGAAAACCCTCGGCAGTAAGCTTGAGAGCTTATAACGTTAAAAATCGGGGTTCGACCAGCCTTTAAATGGACAAAGTGCAGCTCTGCGTCAAAATCTAAACCCCTAAAGAAATGTGCCTTTTGCCTAAAGCAACAAATGTTTAAGTTTTTGATTCTAAAATGTTTCTTAAAAGTGAATTTTTATGTCTCTGTAAGTGCACGATACATTTGAGTGGCGTAAAGACTGGATACCCATTTTTTTAAATAAAATAACACAAATTACATAGTAATATTTTTTCCAGAATAAAATACTCAGTTTATTAGAAATAACTTTTTATGATACTTGTTTCAAGCATTTTTTGAAGCTGTAAATATGCATCTCCAGAAATCATAATTCTTTGGATCTTTTGGTAAAGAAGTCTCACGTTATTGTAATGCCTGTTCTTACATAACTCTCGTTTTTTTATCATGCTATTTAATAGTAATCTCTTCAATCTGAAATGTTTGTTACCTCTAGTCTTAAGCTATTATCTATTTTCACATCAGAGCCTAATTCTTAAGATAGCTTAATTATTATGTGTAACAGTTGCGGCAGTTATGTCCTCCAAGACTGGGAAAAAAGCTATATATATATACATATATATTTGTGTTTTGTTAGTCCCATTTGGACTAGTCCAAATATATTTTTTATCAAAATCGGGCATCGGTGTATACTACTACTGTTCTTAAACTATATCTTTTGTGTGTAAAAACTAACAAAATTAAAAGTTAAAAGTTTTTTTTTTCTTCACTAGTGCCCTTATGATTGAACTTGATAAAACATTATTAGTTTTCTGTTGCTATGGGTATTAAATGTTTGAGGAAAGTATTTTTGTTACGACATAATACTGCTTTTTACTGCTGTTTGTTTTTCTGTTGGTTAAATAAACATTAAAGATATCCAGTTTCATGATAAAAAGTAGTCATTAATATCTTAAAGCAAACCCACAGCTAATTAACGAACAGGATGTTTTAATTAAATCGTAGAGTAATTACTAATTCTATTAATAACATAATTTGTGTTAAGAACAGGATATTTTTAATTAATTCGAAGGGTAATTACTAATTCTATTAATAACATAATTGGTGTTAAGAACAGGATATTTTCAATTAATTCGTAGAATAATTACTAATTCTATTAATAACATAATTGGTGTCAAGAACAGGATATTTTCAATTAATTCGAAGGGTAATTACTAATTCTATTAATAACATAATTGGTGTCAAGAACAGGATATTTTCAATTAATTCGAAGGGTAATTACTAATTCTATTAATAACATAATTGGTGTCAAGAACAGGATATTTTCAATTAATTCGTAGAATAATTACTAATTCTATTAATAACATAATTAGTGTTAAGACCAGGATATTTTTCAATTAATTCGTAGAATAATTACTAATTCTATTAATAACATAATTGTTGTTAAGATCAGGATATTTTCAATTAATTCGTAGAATAATTACTAATTCTATTAATAACATAATTGGTGTTAAGAACAGGATATATTTAATTCAAAGGGTAATTACTAATTCTATTAATAACATAATTGGTGTTAAGGATGCAATGTTTCTATTAAGATTGCTAATGAAAATTTAAAAGTTATGTACATTTGTTGTACAATACATACTTTCAAACTTTAGTTTTTCAATTGTGAATAAGACACCAGCTTTTCAGTGGGAGTCATACAATTAGTCAGTACTGGTTATAAATAAAAATTGTTTAAGTGGGTTTAATGGTTCTAGATATGATCGTTACGAAAACAAATGTCGTATTACAAAGAAGAGTAGAAAATAGGAATGTAGTTGAAATCTTCTGCACGGTTTAATAAATGAGCTAGTTTAAAATATAGGTATATATATTAGGAGTTTTAAAGTATCAGTAATCTTTTTCGTCAAATTTCTTCTTTTAATTTAAGTATTTAAAAATAGGATATGAAACCATTTCTTTGTAAGTAATT